AGATCCATAATTCTTATATTGTTGATAAACAAATTATGCATGGAGTATGATTGGTGATTTCCATACATTTGAAGTTGTTATCAGTTAATTACAAGTTGCCTTGTTGGGCCACTTTCCTATTTGTTGAAGTTGCATTTTGTCATTTGCATAAAGATGGTTGCATGTTTGTGATTTTAAATGATTCAACTTATCTTTAGGTGTGAATATGTATATTGCGGTTGTAAAGAAGAAGAAGATGTAAATCAGTTGAGAAGAGTTTTCTTAATCCGCTGGTGACATGGTTAAATTGATCTTTAAAACTCCATTTTCACAACTTGGTCCACCTCTAAATCTATGGGCTCAGTATGGGCTTCATTATGATCATGATCATACATCATCCAGAGGGTTCTGGTTCTGTAGAGAACTAAACAAACATATATACAATTATTTCTTGGAGTCAAAGTTACCAGCGAAGACAAAACTACGCTTAAAGACACAGACTTTACAAGATTCAGATTCAGACAACTTTACTCTAAAGAAAAACGATCAACGTCTACCAAAATCTTCAAGCCTATATAAACAAACCCTTCTCCTCCAATCACTCCATCAACTAACAAACAAACAATAACCTTACCACCAAAATGGCTCTCTCTTCGCCTTCAAGAATCCTCTGTTTTGTTCTTGCCTTATCCGCCACATCGCTCTCACTCTCATTCGTTGCTTCCCATGATTACTCCATCGTTGGATATTCTCCCGAAGATTTGGAATCTCATGACAGACTCATCGAACTCTTCGAGAACTGGCTCTCCAATTTCGAGAAAGCTTATGAATCCGTTGAAGAGAAGTGGCATAGATTCGAAGTTTTCAAGGACAATCTGAAGCACATCGACGAGACCAACAAGAAAGTGAAAAGCTACTGGCTTGGCCTCAACGAGTTTGCGGATTTGAGCCACGAAGAGTTCAAGAACAAGTACTTGGGGCTCAAGACTGATTTTGCGAGACGCGATGAAGAAAGATCTTACGAAGAGTTCGCTTATAAAGACGTTGAAGCTTTGCCTAATTCTGTTGACTGGAGAAAGAAAGGAGCTGTGGCCGAAGTCAAGAACCAGGGATCTTGCGGTAATCTCAAATCTTGGTCTCTTATGTGTTCAAAAGTTTTGATTTTTCACTAAAACTTTCGCATTTTTATGTTTCGTAGGAAGTTGTTGGGCGTTTTCTACAGTGGCTGCAGTGGAAGGTTTCGTAGGAAGTTGTTGGGCGTTTTCTACAGTGGCTGCAGTGGAAGGTATAAACAAGATCGTGTCAGGAAACTTGACAACATTGTCTGAACAAGAACTCATAGACTGTGACACAACTTTCAACAATGGCTGCAACGGTGGTCTAATGGACTATGCTTTTGAGTACATTGTTAAAAACGGAGGTCTTCGCAAGGAAGAGGACTATCCTTACTCCATGGAAGAAGGAACTTGCGAGATGCAAAAGGTTTTTCGTAAATGCTAAAAAATAAAAACAGATAAAAAGAAACATAAGAAGTTTATCTCATTCTAATAATTTTTTTTTATTAAACAGGATGAATCTGAAACGGTGACTATTAATGGACACCAAGATGTGCCTAAGAACGACGAGAAGAGTCTCTTGAAAGCATTGGCTCATCAGCCTCTAAGTGTCGCCATCGATGCCTCTGGTAGAGAGTTTCAGTTCTACAGCGGCGTAAGTTCATTATAAAAGCCTATGAATCAAGAAAATGGCTTGATCAATCTTCTTGATGTTTGAATCATTGTGTTTTTTTGGTATGTGAAGGGTGTGTTTGATGGGAGATGCGGGGAAGATCTAGACCACGGTGTGGCTGCTGTTGGATACGGATCAAGCAAAGGTTCGGATTACATCATTGTGAAGAATTCTTGGGGACCAAAATGGGGAGAGAAAGGATACATCAGACTGAAGAGGAACACTGGAAAACCAGAGGGTCTTTGTGGTATTAACAAGATGGCTTCTTTCCCAACCAAGACTAAGTGATGAGATCATTCTGATCTCTACAACGAGAAATTATGTTCTGCTTTGATTTTTTTTAATCTAATCTACATTTGATATGAATGAATGTTATCATGCAATTTCTGTTGTTTTGCGCTTTTGAATTATCAATGGAATTCTTGTAACAAGTATTATTAATGTTATGTGCATAATAATACTTAAACCTAGTGACACCACATACACCAGCATGGGGGCAGTTGCCACCAGTCAGATTTTAATTTCCCATGTTAACTACTCACTACAAGAAAACAGTCATTTTGCAACGAAATTTTGCAACGAATTTATTTCGTCGCAAAATAACATCAATTTAGCGTCGATATTACGACAAAACACAACATTGTTGTAAATGTCGTTGCGAGATAATACTTGCGGCCTTCTTTTCTGAACGTATCCAGCAGATCACGATAGTAGAACTCCTGTAGCTTCAACATAGCGACGTATTGTAGGCGCCATGTACAGAACGTCGTCATTAACATAATAGTTTATATGATTACTGATTGCGCTAAATCGTCTGTATAATTTACGACAAACTTGCACAGACTATCCATAATTATATTCCATATTCATATTTTAAATTATAATCAGACACTCATTTACATTATCAGTTTGTATTTTCCATAGGTAAATATCGCATTACTACACTGCTCGAATTACCATAACAAGCATAAAAGAAGTCTGTTTACGACAAATTGACAACTACCGTATTTCATAGGTAAATACCGTCGAATTACCAACAAGATAAAGACGTAAAGATTTTCGTAGTTAATCTGTTGCTAAATGCCGATGTAAATAGCGACGTGTTAGCGGCATAAGGTTCTATAGTCGCTCTAACATTGTTAATTCGTAAACCTAAACCCTAAACCCTAAAAACAACGTGTTACACTCAATTTTTCAATTACCAACCTAACCAATAACAAATGATAACTTTTTCATGTTTAATCCAAGTAAACGTAAGTTTCGAACATTACAAAGAAAATGAACAAGTGTTTCTTATAGTATAAGGTTTACTATATGTCATCTTAGAGGATTTCTTATAATTTATGATCTTTTCCAAATATGTTGTTGTATTTTGTCAATACAACTTCTTTTATAGCTCCTACTTACATTTCTCATACGAGTAAAGGAACGTCTAACAGTTTAGGGCAAATTTAGGGTTTAGGGTTCATATTAACAACGAATTTCTGACGAGTCGTCGTAAAAATGAAGCAAAATCGTGTCAATTCTTAAAATGTTTTCTCGGATGAAATTGAATTATAATATTATGTGGTCCCTGTTTAGCAACGAATTAACGACGATTTGGGACACGTCATTGTAAATTTGTAGGTAATAAGTATGAAAAATTTTAGCGACGAATTAACAACGATTTCTTAGTAATCGTTGTTAATTCGTTGGTAATTAACGACGAATTAACAAGGACATCAAAAAATGGAAAAAATAATTCCCGCGTGCGGGAAAACGAAATTTTGCGAAAAAATTTAGCGACGAATTTACGACGATTACCAAGAAATCGTTGTTAATTCGTTGGTAATTAACAACGAATTACCAAGGGACATCAATTAATGGAAAAATTTAATTCCCGCGTGCGGGAAAATGAAATTTTGCAAAAAAAATTAGCGACGAATCAACAACAATTACCAATAAATCGTTGTTAATTCGTTGGTAATTAACGACGAATTACCAAGGGACATCAAAAAATGAAAATTTTAATTCCCGCGTGCGGGAAAACGAAATTTTACGAAAAAAATTAGGGACGAATTTACGACGATGCATACATATCATCGGAAATTCGTCGCTAAATAGCGACGCTGTTGCGAGGAAACAAAATTCTATATAAGGGATCCTCACTTCTTTCACACTTCCATCTCCCTTTGATTCTCATTTGCAACTCTCTCTTCTCACCGATCCTCTCTCACCCGCCGGATCCTCTCTCTCCCGCCGACCCTCTCTCTCTCTCCGCCAAGCCTCTCTCTCCCGCCGGACCTCCCTCTCTTCGCCGCCCCTCTCTCTCCCGCCGGACCTCCTTCTCTCCGCCAACCCTCTCTCTTCCGCCGGACCTCCTTCTCTCCGCCGGCCCTCCCTCCATCGATACTCTCTCGGATTATTAGTTATTATATTATTATTATTTTTTATTTTTTTAAAGAAAATATAATCGTCGCAAATACGACGCAAATAAAATAGTAAAATAACGACTTTCGTCGTTAAATCGAAGCAAACTTATTACAGCTGTCGTTGTTAAATCGTTGGAAATTTGCGACGATTTAACAACAAAATATTACCGACTTAAAATTTCCGACGTTTTTTTGATGTAAATTTGGCGTCGAATTGAAGCCTCCTTGTAAATCCGTCATAAAGGTTACGACGATTTTACGATGTTTAGGTTGCGACGAATTAACGACGATTTTTTTTTCGTTGCTAATTAGCAAGGAATTAACGACGATAGGTCATTAGCGTCGATAGCTTAACGACGATTTCGAATTCGACGCAAATCCGATGCCAAGGTCGATTAGCAACGATTTAACAATGTTTTCGGCCGTTGTAAAACGCTTGTTTTTTTGTAGTGACTTAAACATATTTCAATCTAGGCCCCAAAAATTGAAAATTTAAGCTTAATGCCCCCACTAGAATATGACTCTAGATTCGCCACTGTTTAAGTATATGGGCTAATACTTAAACCTAGTTTAATACTTGCATAAAACTAACAAAGAACTAATTTAAGTCAAAGTTAAAGGAAATGGGTATAAATGAGGACTGTAAAAGGAGCAGACCATTTAGAAGAATGAAACAGAGGACGAGTTGACTAAACAGTTTCTTGGGTAAGAAGTAACTAAAGAAAACAGAGGCAAGAGTAGATTAAACAGTTTTGTCAGGTAATTAAAACAAGACCAAAATAATATCCTTAAGCAAAACAGGGAACAAAAATGGAAGACATTAATGAATCTGGCTTTCATTGTCTGAACTTGAACTGACCATCAGTCTAATATCTCCCATCATCATCTTGTCCGAAGCAAAGTGCTCGCCGAGGATTGCCCTTCAACAATCTGTGGCTCATCTCCGCTCTCATCATTGTTATCTTGATCATGCTCGTTCTCCTCTAACGATCTTCCCATGGTTTCCTTCGTGAAGAAATACGTCACAAAGATTCCGGCGATGCAAACGCCACCAAGAATCAAGAAAGCAATTCTCATACGGTTCACTTCGGGGTAAAGCTGGTTTCTACCGTCGCCATTGTCAACATTCTTCGTAGCCCACATGAAGCCAACAGTGCCTACAATAGCCCCAAGCTTACCAGCGGCTCCGGAGATCCCGTGGCAAGTTGACCTAAACCTAGCCGGGAAAAGCTCAGCTGGAATGATAAAAGTTGTAGTGTTGGGTCCAAAGTTGCAAAAGAAGAAAACCAAACCGTAGAGAACCATAAAGCCTTTCTTAGACTGATCATGCTTTGACCAGTAACTGTACGGAATCCCTGCGACCAAATAGATAACGGCCATGAAGAAAAACCCCATAATCTGGATTTTGACTCGACCTATCTTGTCGATGAAGTAAACTGTGAACCAGTAACCGGGAATGGTGGAACAAGCGGCGATGATGGCTCCTAACTCCGCCACCTCGAAGGCAGCGTCGTATACATTTTGGGGTGTGGAGGAAGAAGGTTTATCGGAGTAATGGCTGAATATTTGGGAGAGGAGGAGGTTGCTTGTGTAGAAGACGACGTCTACAAGGAACCAATTAGCGGAGGCGGCGAAGAGGTCTCGGCCGTGGAGACGGAGGAAGCGGAGCGAGAATAGTTTGTAGGAGGAGGAAGGCGGCGGAGGAGGGGGAGGTGGCTCGGTGGTGGTTTCGTCGGAGAAATGAGATATCGACATGACTCTTTGCATGTCTTTTGCTGCTTGGACGATATTATTTTCCACAAGTGCTGTATATCTGCATGCATCAGTATTACTTTTTATTAGAAAGTAGCGCATTTCTATACCATTTTATATTTTTACGAATCGATTTTACATGATTTTGACTTTTTCTTCTTCTAATGAATGCAAAAGAGTGTTGGAAGAACTAGCTAGGAAGAGTACGTGTGGGGATAATTTAAATTAGTTGTAATGAAAAGAGAAAATAATGGATTAGCTGGAGTTGATACCTGAGGTAGATATAAATATTAGATGAAAGAATAAAATAAATCATTTTTTTGTATTTGATTAAAGTATGATTGGTTAGACTTTTTTATTTTTGTTAAATTGATTGGTGGAGAAATGGAATAGCCAATGTTGACTACGTAAAGATAAGATGAATGCAAGGATATGCCACAATGTTTGGTATCTGTCCGAGTTATCCCCTTACAAAGTCAATGACTCCTCTGAAATAAACCACTAATTTGTAACCTTCTAAATAATTGATACCTACATCTATATAACCTTAGCTGTTAAAAAATATACAAAGACTAATAGTTTCTTTTAAGGAAGAATCTAGCTAATGTTATAGATGTGTGTGTGTGTGTGTGATCGAAACAGTTATCAAAATATAGCCGTTTTGAGCCCACCAGTAACTAGAAAAAAGTTAATCACATACAAATGTTTTTGTGGGTTGAAATTAGTAAACACATAAACAAAAACTGTCTCTTAAGGTGATATCTATGGTGAGAAATGTGTTCCTTTACTCATCAAAACAAATCAAGAATATTGTAAATATAATTCTATAGACGATATATCATCAAATCTAGTAGATTTAAAGATTTTTATATGTGGGGGACAAGTAGCAAATAAATAGTGTGAGACAAGAATGTTCTGCATTTACGTCCTTTCTGATTTGTGATTGGCAAAATATAGAAATAACATTCGCCAGTAGAACGTTTTTAAACCATGAAAAAGTTTAGAACCGAACCTCGCGGTTTCAGGCATTAACATTCGCCAGTAGAACGTCAATGCAGCAGGAAGAGCACCGATCATAAGTATAAGCCTCCACGCCACGTCAGCTTCCGCCGGAGCATCCTCCTCCGCCTCCTCACCGCCTCCACCTTTTTTAAACGCTACGCAAACAGCCATCGTCACGGCGGAGCTCACCAGGATCCCCAAGCCCTGCATCGAGAACACAGCCGCAATAAACGCGCCACGTGTCCTCTTATTCGCAAACTCCGACATGATGGTCGCGGAAAGCGGATAATCACCACCGATACCCAAACCAAGAATAAACCGGAAAAAACCGAGGCTAACCATAACGCAAGACCTTCGAGTGGTGCAAACCGAGAAGCCGCAACCGAAGGAGCTAAGGATCATGATGATTAGGCAAAGCCCGTAGACTCGGCGACGACCGACTCGGTCACCGAGGTAACCGAAGACGAGTTGACCCGCCGCTGTGCCGAGCAGAGCGATGGCGTAAGAAGTGGAGAGAACGGCTGTGTTGATGGAGTCCCCGTGGTAGTAAACATGGCTAATCATTTTCATGACCGGAGCGATGCAGAAGAGATCGTATGCGTCGGTGAAGAGACCCATTCCTGCGACTATGATCGCTTTGAAATGGTACCATTGTATTCGAGCTGCGTCTAGCGACGACAATACCTTTATTGGCATCGTCTTTTTCTTTATCTGCGATTCCGAATCCAGAGCTTCTTCTTTTTTTCTTTTCGAGGTTTGAAGATGAAGTGAAACAGGACATTGATTCTTACAAGTTATAACACAACAAGTCTCTGTCTCTGTCTCTGTGTGTTTTTTGGTTATTTTATTTCAATGAAGTTGGAATATGCCTCTTGTGATTTTGACTCCCAGGAAGACTTGGTCAGTTGTTTCTACTTCTCTATTTATGTTGTCACGATGGGACACAACATTCATCTGTTTGAATTTTTCCAGCAAACTAAACCGGATTTTGTACTAATCTGTTTAATTTCGGTTTGATTCACTGATGCATAGTAACAACTTGTAACAAACAACTAACATCAACTTTAGTGCTTCAGCGAGCTTACACACACAATTTTGACATATTCTCAGTTGATGAAAAGTGAAAAACATTGTGAAGAAGGATCGTTAGCAAAATCGACTGAGTCATGTCCATAATGATATGCCCATACAAGCCATTTGGTTGAGGCCTAGCTTAGCTTCTATATCCATAAACTTTAAAGATGTACAGAGCCTGATCCTAGTGTTCCCAAAATGAAGGAACCTCTCTGGTTTAGTCAAGAGTTTTTTTTCTGTCTGATGATGACAGCTTCGAAGATACCATCTGATCGGAATTTAGGAGAGATTAGCCTCGGATCAACAGGTCCCGGGAGGCTAAAACACAGCTTGAACGGTCCAGGCGGGCAGAGCTTCCTCGTCTTCATCTCGAAAACGCGAGAATGCCTCTTGATCGTTTTCTGGCCTGTCGTACTCAGTCCCTCCAGAATAACCTTTCCATCTGTATCAATCTCACAGCTGAACTCACCTGCACAAAAAGAACCAAACCATTGGTATGTGTTGTTCATCACTTAGACCCAATGAGACCTATGAGAAGCATGAATATACTATATACCGTAGTCTTTGCAGACACCAGGCAAAGCAACTCGAAAGAAGTAAGCAGCTTTGTTGACACCAATATCGACAGCACCAATGGATGGTCCTATAGCTCCTTCTCTGGCTGTTCCTCTAGTTACAGCCGCCGGTTCTGGTTCACATTCCTTCATCCCAGGAGGAAATGGTACAAGCTTCTGAATTTTGGGTTGATCTTTTTTGTCTCTTCCCGTAGCAGTTTCACCGTTCTTGTTTTTCGCTTTTGCTGATGAGTTCTTGAACCGTTTTCTCCTGTATGTCTCCCTGAATCTTTCTGGAGTTCTAGTGATTCCGGAAACATCATGACCAGTAACTGCTTCTTCTTCTTTTTCTTCTTCCTCTTTCTTTCGCTTGCATGTTTCTTGAACCTCTGCAGATGAATAGAAGTCTTGAATATAGGCAAGTCCGTTTCTTGAACAGTCCTGCTCCGTTACCTGACTTTCTTGTATGTCTACTGCAGTTCCTTCTGTGGCTTCGTAAACAGCAAGACTAGCAACTGCTTCCTCCTCGTTCTTTCTCTTGCAATTCTCTCTTACCTCTCCAGATGAATTGAAGTCTTGGTTAATGACAGCTCCACTGGAGGTCACTTGACTCACTTCCTGCTCTCTTCCCCGGCTTTCATCCAGCTTCACACGTAGAGGAGACAAAGACACAACTCTGTCTATTTTCAAGTCATCCAAACACGACAAGCATCTGAATCTTTTGAGTTCTTCAGTGCTTATGAACGCTACTGCAGGGTCATCGATGACAACAATACCTTTCACGATCTCGTGGCTCGGGGAATACTTTTTCTGCGGGTGGAGATTCGTAGGGAAAAAGGACGTGAACTGAGGAAACATTCCCCTCAGAGGAAGATATCCTTTCAGATACGTATAGAGCATGTCCGGATGCACAAGGAGGCTGGACTCGGCGTTTCTCAGTACGTAATAGTACAGGTTCTGTAGCTGAGCAACCGTTAGAGAGGAAGATCCAATGTGCATAGATGTGTAAGGAGGCAAACGTTTGGCTAATCTTTGAGAAGCTGAGATTCTTGGGTCATCAGAATACACATCAGGACCCAAATATTTGCTCATTATGAAGTTGACCAAGAAATACTGATCACTCGATAATCTATCGCTACAAAGACTCATCTTTCCAGGAAATGGGGCTATATCAGTGACCCTGCATTGTCACATATGGAAGCAATAAGGACATGCCAAAAACGTATATGCAGGATAATAAATTTGAGTCTCAAATCTGCCAGATTTAGTTATAGCTCTTAAAGTTTCCACCTTTTTTGGGGTCTACGATTAAGTATTGTCATCACAGAAGTTGAATCTGAAAAAATTAGACTGAAACTCTGAGAAAGCTAGCTTGAAGATGAGTACTCTCATACTCTTGACTTGACAAAAAGATATCCAAATCCTACCCAGAAAATATCATAATCTAAGTCATGAAACCAGAAAACCATTTCACTAGTTAGTTCAAAGTCAAAACAGTTTTTTTTTTTCCTAAAATGCAAAGGGAATTACGCTTAAAGACGACACTTTTCTACTCTCTATTGCGAGAATCGATCCCACACGACTACACAAAATGTAAAATAGGGATTCTAAAATGTCAACCTTTGAAAGTCCATCGATTTAACAAAATTAAGCAGCAATGCAACTGTACTATCACACATTGGCGGCGAAAGCGAGAAGAAACTCGAAACATAATACATCAGAGAAATTTGGTCAATAATGGGATTTGCGTTTACCTTGTTTTTGTCTTGGGAGGAAGGAGGAGCACACAGGAGATTCTCTGGCTCTGCAAGAGGAGCCGAGAAATTTTGGTAGGGGCAAAATGCAAAGTTGATGGGCTCCTTCGCTCGTTACACGTGGCTACCATGTGGGACCCGAAAATAAGGCATCACTTGTCACCTGGGTCGCCACGCGCCGTTATTGTTGTTTTAGCATGTTTAGGCTTTTCAGAGGTGACGAAGGCCCAAATATTTTATTTGTCTTATTCTTAAATTGACTTCGAAATAAATTTTGGTTTTTCTGATTATTGACATATTAAACAAAATTTTAAAATACAAGACACTTTTATTTTCATCATTTTTTTAAAAAAAATTTCATTACCTTATATTATTACTTAAGCTAATTCATTTTTTAACGAAATCTATAAAAGCGATTCAAGTTTCGAAAATAAAGGGTGTTTTGCAACAAAATTTGTTAGCAAGTGGAGGACTATATTGGATACTTTGAAAATCTGGTCTATACTGGATACTGACGATTGAACAAAAATTTGGAATCTCTCAACTCGAAAACAGTAATAAAATAAAGATCCTAACAAGACAAATGGAGTTAAAAGCAGATGAATTTCTGCAGAAGATGGAGTCAGACAGAAACAATAAGAAATATCCTGAAGAACAATGTATCCGTCTAGAAACTGTAGATACCATGGAAAAGATGAGAACCCTGGAGCTAAAATATATGCACAGACAAGAAGCTAAGCGAACTCAATAGACATAATTTTTTTACTTACAAATGCAGAGGACTCGACTCAAGAGGACATAAAAAGCTACCTAACAGTCTTCTCACTAACAATCCTATCCCTTAAGGAAGTGTGTAGTAAGAAGTCTACTTAAACTACCAAAAGAATCAGATTTTGATTCCACCATTCTATATGCATCGGTATGTATTCGTCTATGATATATATATATATGTACTTTCTTTCTACACCAAACCTAACGGTTTACCGCGAGAAAACCCTTGTTTCCGGGGGTGAAACCATTCATTTCGTCTAGGGCAGCAAGCTTTTTGTGGATATACACATGATGAGATTGAGAGGGTTAAAGATCACAGAAGCTCAAACCCTGAAAGTTCCATTGTCCTTTGCCTTAAAATCCGCTTTCCCGAGAGCAACCCTTTTTTTACTTCTTCAGTGAGAAAGACTACTTATGACCTGTACCAGCGGTAAGGTGGTGAGATCGGAAACATTTGCAAGTAATAAAACTGAAAAGAGCATTTGAAGAAACAAGCTTTACCTCTAGAATGCAAAGATAAAAAAAATGTACAAAGCTTAAACAGTAAGCCTGCTTAGCATTTCCACTACTCAACTTCTTTCCCTTTTTCTGCAGTCTTCAAGGATTACTAACTGAAATCCAATGAATGACATCAAAATCGTGTAACTGCGTATCATCTCCAAGCCAGTTTAAACCCTTACGATGAGCTATAAAATAAATACTTACGTTGGTCGAGTTGTCACCCTGTTTGATCAGAACCGCTACTCTGCTTATACTGAGGAGTCTGGACAATGATGTGGGGCTGCGTTGGGGCAGGACCTGCTATAGCTGAAGGGTAGGGAGATTGAATAGCAGGCATAGGTGAAGTGGCATTGGGTCCACCAAGCTGCAGAACATGACCTCCTGGAACCGAATAACCCTGTACCGCTGTATAACCGTGACCACCAGGAATATTCTGACTAAATTGGCCGTATTGATAACCCGGCGAGTTAACTGCCCCAGGTACTCCATAAACTTGAAGGTACTGTTGTCCTGTGTAAGGACCATAAAAGCCCTACAACATCATGAAGAAAAGACATTAGTTATACAGCCGAAGTCATAATAGTTTTAAATGTATAAAGAAGCCAAGAAGAAACTTGAATAATTTCAGAAGCCTACCTGAGATTGTGAGTACATGTACTCAGGTCCATATGGTGTTACCCTGAGAGAACAACTAAAATTAGGGACAGAAGAGTAAAGTTTTGGCCAGACGCTCTTGAGAGAATATAACACAGAAGAGTAGCAATCATATAGCAATGGCTAATACACATTATACTACGACAAGAATATGCTAAACTATGAGAAATGAGTCTAAAATTCCATTCCTAAATCATGACCTTGCCTGTCCCAAAAAAAATTGAGCTCGGCCACATATCCTCTGCAATTATTTCTGTATTCTCTCCCTGCAAGATTACCAATCACAACATGTCACACCACAGTGCTACTACACTCAAGAGACCTAAGTGGCAGAAGATAACTAACAACCCCTAGCTCGTTAGAATCTCTAGGTGATTGTCCATGCTGTGATTGGTAAATGCCACTTGATCAAAGTGACTGAACAAATGTTCCACCTTTGTGGGAATGGACTAGCAAGTAGACATTACAACTGATTAGCTGTTCACAGCATGTCTGTTGCAATAGCAACGCAACTTGTGAGCTTCAAATTGCAAAACTCACCCGTAAGGGTACATCACTCCTTGCTGGTAGCTATAAGCAGGTGGTTGCTGATACGGATGACTTCCAAAGAGTGAACCGCGAGGACCCTGCACACTCCCAACATATGGAGAAGCAGGTCTTATCCGTCCTAACCAAGAAAAGAACAATGCATTAGATACATGTTTACACGGTAACGATCCAAGAAAATAACATAGAAGAGTACTGAAGGCAAGACTGACCAGGAACATTAGGGATCACTGCATATTGAATAGGAAGCCGAGGTCTCCCAAGAGAAGCGAGATTACAATTCGCACGTCTGCCATCTATAACAGGTGTCGGGTCGACACAGGCTCTTCTAGCAGCCTCTGGATCTCGGAATGTCACCTAAATCCTCCACACAAATCATTAACAATAGCACTGAGTCATTCTTCCAATCATGAAAATGAACCTAACAGCTATGTAAATGAAAGACAGAAAAAGACTCCTCTGATTAGAATACACAAATAGGATACTCACAAAGCCGTAACCTTTGGATCGACCGGTGTTCTTATCGGTGATAACGACGGCCTCAAGGATTTCACCAAAATGTTCGAAATGCCGACGAAGAGTCTCGCTTTGAGTCTCCCACGCAAGGCCACCCACAAAGACCTTAGTATAAGTTGTATCACCAAAGGGAGAATTCGAGTAATGAAACCCAGAGCCCGGAAATGAATGGTACGCCATGATTAGAACCAGAGACAGAAACTTTTTTCGACGAGGATGAAGTATGGACAAGGACCAATTCTAAGTGAGACTAAAACTTGACCCAGTAAACCCTAGTTTGAATGATCCAACTTTAGTGAAGAGTAAAGATGCAAAATACAGAACCAATCGAATTGAAAGCGAAGATTCTAGGGTTTACTCGGGTCTGCGAATAGGAGAAGAGAGAGAGAGAGATGAAGAGGAAAAGCGAGATCGGCCCCAACGAAACCTAATAAAGGATCATACTAACAAGTAGTGATCATGACAGAGAGAGAGAAAAAAAAAGGAGCGAAAATCTCCCGGGAAAAAAAACAGAAAATAGTAAAAAGTTGGGGGAAAAGGGGTTTAAACTTTGAAAAATGGGGCCAGGAAGAAGAAGAGAGTCGGTGCCGGTAGGTACAAGGATGGGTCAAGGGTTTCTGAATTGGTGATTGCGTCGAGAGGGAGGCGATTCGCAGACGAATTTGAATCAAGCGTGTGGGAGAATGAAAAAATAAAACAAAAGGGGAGGAGGGAAAGAGGGAAGAATCAGTGTGATTTTGGGGAATTCGATAGAGAGGAAAGGTGTGATCAGGAAATTTGCATTGATGATGATGGTGAAGAAGTTGGTGATGACGACGACGATGATGCGTGATTATATGATTCACGAATTGTTCGAGAGAGAGAGAGAGCGAGAGTAGAGAGAGTTTGTTCTTCTTCGCTCTCATAAGAAATGGGTCCCGCTCAAATAATCTAATTAACGCTGTAATTATTGAATTATTATGCGTTTCTCTCGTGAATTATTATCGGTTAAAGCAAACTGATATGTGCTAAAGTAGTAAAGCGTAATGTGTACGATTTGATCTTTTTATCACCGTCCGAGTTAGTACTGGATTCCTGCGAGTAATATAACATGTTTTGAAATTGGATAATCTAACTAATTTTCTTCGTAAAAGACAATACGATGTTGTACTTTAGGAATTATTATTTTTTATCTTGGGGAATGCAGGAAACTCAAATGGATAAGCCTAATGAGACAGTCGACCTAATAACTATATATACGATAAAAATCATAAAAGTTAAGAAAATGACTTTCCTCGGCAATAGTTATGTGTCTTTTTCGCACCTAACTCTTTCTTTTGTAAAGCCATAACTGGTAACAGAGGAATTGTGGAATGGTGAAGAATGTAGCTGAATTATTTTGTAATGTCACCAGTTGAGTTTGTGGAATGTGGAGCAATGTGGATAATCTTTTTTAAAATAAAACAAATCAATAAAATTACAAATGCAGCATTTATATTATTTTAGTTTTCTACCTATAATTATTAATTGAAGTTTATGAGCTACTGATCATTCGAAATGAACACAACTAATAAATATGTATTTTGATTTTGATGATGTTTTACCTGACAAATGCAATTATATATATATATATATTTTTTTTTTTGCAATGATAAGAAAGAACAATAGATGAATATACTCATATACAAAAATACCATACATAACAATTTTTTATGCACCTTACCAAAAAATAATTATAGAATGTGTTTAGTTATCGAATTACTTTTGTGGAATGTCACAAAAGAAAGAAAAAAAATATGGGCAAATTATTCGGTCATCCGATCCGATTAGCTACGAATATTTCGGGTTTTTGGAAAGTTTAGAACTCAATCTTAGTAATATAATTATGAATCCAAAAAATAAATTTATGAATGTGGATTTAGGAAAAATGTTTAAAAAGACATATCCAAGAATAATGTACTAAATAATAATTATTTTAGTCTAAAATAAACACAACTATAATAAGATTTCATAGAGATTTTGAAGTTTTTATAGCACATAAATTTTGGACAAGAATATAAAAAAACAACATATGGTATCTACATGCATACAATACGGAAATGAATTAATGAGAAAATATGTGATGATTTTTTTTTTACGGAAATATGTGATGATTTTCATTATTAGATTGTTAATATTATAAATATTATATATTTTATATGTATATCTTTACTTTTTAACTTTCATATTTTTAAAAATTATTAGAAATCCAAGTTTCTAAATTAATATGTTTTAAAAATATTATTTTATTGAACTATGATTTAGTTATTTCATAAGTTTATGATTTTATGTAGTTTATTAATTTAATTAGGTAAATATTTTGTTATTCCGTTACACAAATAATTTGTTAGGTATTTATTTTGCATTCCGCATTCATCAACATTCAGCTGTTACCATTCATATTACTAACTAATCAGCCAGATTCCACAACTATTCAACATTTTATTCAGTCAGATTCTGCATTCAGCAAGATTCCTCGGTTATCATTTAGACCCTAAATGTATGAACAAACAATACTTTTTTTTTATAACATCACACTGGTAAACAAACAAAAAGAATTAAATGTGTACTTTCCCGTACCATATGCCGGAAAAAATTACTTCTGAGAAGAGAAGTTTGTTTCATGAAGTCAAAAATATCAACGATGGTTGAATTTCGTCTCTCCCATTTATCAATTCTGGATAGTGTAGAGTAACTAAGCTTCATCCCCATTTAAGCATCACATTTATATGAAATCATCCAAAACATCAAAATCTGAACTACGTTACTCATATCCAATCTGATACAACTGACACTAAACTCCCAAATCCAAACCGAATAAAATGAACAAACATCAAGTAGCTAACACAACAAAGATGCGAGAAGAAGAAAAAGAAAAACATCTTTGTGTATTAAGTATTAACCAATGCAATATACTTACTCCTGGTTTCAAGTTTTCAACTTGGCAGAGGCCATTAACGGTCACGATCTCCATATTTGATCAGAAGATAAGATGAGAGAAACCGTGGAAGAACCAAGGCGAGCACGAGACACAATACTACTAAAATCACCACTGGCCAGCATGAGTATGCGATTCCTAAAAGCTGTTCTTCACAAACTGTCAACATGAAAGAGTTTCAGACTTTAGAAGAGCCTCTCCACTTAACAACAACAGGAAGAAGATGGATCATAGTAAGTTAAACAAAATAAAGCTTGCCTATGTTGTAAATGATGAATGGCCGCTCTTTGAAATTTGGTATAGCCACGATTCCTTCAGGTTCCACCGCCACCAAAACATACAATCCATCATCCTAAATCAGAATAACAGAAAAAAAAAAGGGAATCAAGGACTTGGTATCGTGCTTCTTTCTAAGTAGTACTAGTAACAACTGATTGAAGATTATGATAATTACCTTGTTATTAACTTCTTCAAAACTTTCGGTTTTGAAGATCAATTTCTCAGTGTTTAGTAACCTCCTCCTCTGGTTTAGCTTCAAACCCATCACACCATTCCTCAATAGTTGCAGCGAAAACTGAGCTGGGATCTGTTTAACAAAACCAAAAATATCCAAATTTTCAACAAACACAAACAAAAAACTTGGAAACAAAAGCAATAAACAAGAGAAAACAAATTTGACATACAGAAGCTGGGTACGATATCTTGACTTCATACCAAGAATTCGATTTAAGCCCATCTAATCTGTAAACTCGAGATCCAGATTGCAATGGCATACTCTCCTTCCATAGTTCCTTACCAGCATACAATGTTTCTCCATCAAACCTAAGTTATATACACCTCATAACATCATTCACTACTTTACAAATTCAAGGAAATGGAAACTTTGGAAAATGTGAGGTTTCTAAGCAACACTCACAGACTCTCATGGCTGTAACAGGGAACAGCAATTGTAAAGACGATCAGACATAAGAGCAAGCAGGTTTCTCTATCGCGTAACTCGAGCATCCTAAATAGTCCTGAGAAAAAAATTCAATAAAGAATCAAAACCGAGTGTTCTGAATCTGAAGCAACCTTTCTAAGAAATCGAATCGACTTACCAGAGATCAAATTTTGGATCGTCGTGTCGTGCTTGTTGATACGATTCCGGCGAGGTGGTCGACGATCGAGAGATTTCTTCGGCATAGGGCCTTATGGGCTGATATCTTAATGGGCCATCTTAAGGCCTAGCTTAATAGTATAGGATACACTAGGGACTTGGGAGTCGGATAAAGCGGTTGGGACAAAATGATAAGTAGTAACAGCATATCATGACCGTCCACGTCACGGTCCCTACACGTGGTCAGATCTCCACGTTGATGTCTACGTGGACGATTTACATAAGGAAGTTTTTGTCCTCTCTTGTGTGGGTCCACGTTATGGGCCCAAGGCCTTAGACACTAACTAGGAAAGTCCAAAACAGTCAGGTAGACATGTGGGCTCCATTATCAAAACCAAATTGGCAATTTGCCCATGTTCCTTCCTCTCAAGTGAAATAGTTAACTCTGTGATCAATCACCTTTAATTTTCACTATACAAGTTACATCTAACCAACAGTTTTTTTTCTTCTGTTTTTTCAAAGAGAAAAAAAGTGTATATACACTTATATTTTATCACTTCACTATGAGTTCAATCGATATCATTCAAAACAGTTCATAGTTCACTTCACAAGTATATACATACAAGTATACAAGTGTAAACTGTATAGACTTGCTCAAACTCAAACGAGTAGAGATAACAATGAAAAAGACATTAAATATTGAAAAGACGTTCGGTTTTGTATTCTTTCGCGGCTTTACAATTAAACAAATTGGTGGATGGGGTGGTGGCATATCACAAGTCGCCAAAGATGTGAGAATGGGGTTTGGGCATTATCGAAAAAGTTGACCCGTAATTTCTGATTGATCACAACTGCTTTTTAATTATTTTAAAAAAAAAAAAAATCTAGTGGAGACCACTAATGTAATTGATTTTTTACTAGATCCCATTTGAGTTGTGAGCATCATTAGTAACAAAATTATATTGGCATAGGTATATATTTGGGATACCAAGTTCTCCAAATTGTTTGGAGCAATAAAATACATATTTCATCATACATATTAATTGTATATGGAGAATGAAATGTCAAGTCAAAGTCGTAAGAGTTAAAATAATTCTTTTTATAAACAAGATGTTTGAGTCATCCTTTAATATTTTTTTTTTGTCAATGTTGTAAAAGGAAGTAGGTAACAACTAGCTACTAGGAAGCAGTTATTCCCATGAGATACCCTCATATATAGGCTCATAGGTTATTATATAACAAATCTTATATAACTGGTTTTAACTTGTTGCACAAAAATAGAGTAAGTATTTTAGTTCTTTTAAGCTTTACTTTAGATTCTTTAATAGATAAGGCATCGTGTATACGTTAGTAAACAAGTAAACAAAAGTATTTTAATTCCTCAATTAATCTCTTGAAGAAACCAAATTCCTCTAGAAAAACTTTTTTTTTTCTCTAGTTTTTCTACTAATTCCCCTTATTTGCTCTAGGATTCTTTCTACCACTAATACCCTTCCACTTAACGAAGCAAACAAGCGGGACATGTTAGATTCCGTGCGACAAACGAATAAAGTATGATTTGATTGACAATTTGATACAAAGAGCTTGATTAGACTTGTTGATTGGTCTTCTTATCTAAGCATTCTATACATCCATAATCAGCTATCAATAAATAAAAACGAATACTTTAACAATAAATTACAATACTATATTTATTTTGCTGGCAATAGATCAAACAATCGACTCTAAAGAGTTTTGGAAGAGAATAGAAGACCATGATAATTTTGTTTTGCTGGCAGTACTCCTTATTTCCTATGCTCAAAAAGAAGAAAAACATATCACGGATCATAAAGTTCGATACTTTTAGTTAAGGAAACAACTATTTCAATATACCAAACTTGGTTGTTTAAGCTTTTAGAATTAAATATTTTCTTCATAACGTACGTGCCTCAGATATTAGAACTGAGAGTTTTTACATCAGTAGCAAAAAGGATATTGTGATCACGTTAACGACAATTAGTTCATATATACATTTGGCGCGTGGTACTTTTGATTGAATAAAAAACAAATGAAATATAAATAAGTGTATTGAATAATGGGTGTCCCATAAGCATCAAAGTTTGTGGCCGTCTTATCATTTGCAAATACAGTATTTAATTAGAATGATGTCATGGATATCGAGTAGGGGTATTAAATTTTGGAGTGAATTTGGTAAATAGCATATTTTGGGCCTTTATTTAGGTGAGAAACAAATCGTAAAATGGCTATTAGCATTCATCTAAAGGGTACCCAAATAAAAAGAGAGACACAACACGTTGAGCAAAATCAATGAAGTGTGCGCATGGGGGTCGGTTTGGAGAAGGGAATTTAATTGACCTGATTGTGGCTGCCTTACGTATGCCTACGTCATTGACATCAAATTGAAATTTTTATGAACCGAGATAATCCAGTGCTCTATAAACATGACTTATTATAGTAAATATAACATGATATTTATTGTAATTTATCAAAACATATTTTATTATGCTGTTATTTATATATTTAGCACACCAAAAATTATAATAACAAGATATATTTATTTATAACGCACCAAAATAATAAATAACAAATCGAAATACAAGACATAATTGTGGATATATGATATAATATATTTTAGCATATTATAAGAACATATAACTTGTTATATTGATTTATAACACACCAAAAAACTAAATAGCATATATTGTCATATAAAATCGTAGATAGTCATATGTCAATGTAGACAACCACATAGAAATATGGAGATTTAATAAAAAAAAAAATCAAAACATACTATTTCAATCACTAAAAACACATTCACATAGATATGTAGACAACCATATCATAATATAACACCAAGAAAACATATGTTGACAAATAAATAAATTGACATATAAATATATAGAAATATATAAACAATCATATAAACATATAGAGAACCATCTAAAATAATATCAAAATATATACATATATTGATGATTAAATACATTGTCATATATTATCATATAGTAATAATGTACTAAAGTAATTGCTTTTTTGTTGTGTGAAATAAAGTAATTTAGTAAATTTTTAGACTTTTTTAATTTTTCGCACGCGTGAAATAACCTACAGTCTCAATAACGTGTCTCCTTAAACTGTCTCATTAATTACTCGTGGCTTGAATCAACCGCTCCGGGAGCAATAGACGTGTGGGGTTAAAATGGGTACAAAATGGAGCAAAATATTTTCCTGATTGAAGTCACGAAACTCTATATGTTGAATATTTAATAACGTCACTTCCTATGGCTACTGGGTGCAAATTCTCTAAATTTTGTTAAGGGGATACGGTATTTAATCTGAAGACAAGTTTTTAATGTTGTCCAAACCTCATAAAACTATAGTCGAGTTAAAGTCTCGATACACGTTATATATCCTTATCACGTTTAATTATGTTTTGATCAGTGTATGTCGGAATAACTATAACTTATTTATTCCATGTTCGGTGATTTAAAGGAGTAACTCTTACTGTTACCAAAACCAGAAAGATCAGTTAGAGAGAGAGGAGTTGATCGATCTAAATAGACTAAATTAGTATATATATGGCCAGTGGTCAAAGTTATATACTTACATGATGTGCTTAAATATTTGGCATGTAAAAATAGGGTTTACATTCATTTTTTCTTTACATAATATATGACATATGTCAATAAACGTAAAAGCGAAATTTACATTCTTTGTTTTTGAGAAATAGAAAGTACAAAGGGCAAAAGAAGTGAATCTGAGGTACAGACCATAAGGGATAGTTTGACATATATATGGCCATATGGGTAAGTAACTTAAGACTGATTTGATTCGGGAGGAGTGTGATTGGATAAGGATTTGACCAAGTACCGATGTTTCCGACCGCCTCCACGTGGTCACATAGCTTGCCTTTCACTTTCATGCTCTGACCTTTTGACCGCACGTGACTGATGTCTGTGCACGTGCGGATCTGGCTAACGTGTGCGGTTCAAGTACATTGCACCGAGCCCTGACTCGCCAGGTTGCGCCGATAAAAACGACGCTTCAGTGGGTCCCGCATGCCATGACGATGGACGGTTCTGATCCGTTTTCAAAAAAAGGTCCCCACATGGTTTCAGCTCACATGCGTCCACGTTGAGGAGCTTTAGGTGTTACTATATGGGTGCAGTGCAGTGCAGTTAAAAATTAGGACAACCAGTCACGGACTGACGGTCCGATGAGGTCAAGCATTAATGGGTCGGATCGAGTTTAGTCACTTCAATAAATATGCAATTATTTGGATGGGTTGGTTGATACAACTTCTTTATTTTTTTTTATTTTTTTTGCGCAATTACACAACTTCTTTTTAAAAATTGAAAATTGGTTGATAACATTATTAGTACTTTCTGCGTTTCAAATTAGTTGTCGTTTTGACAAAATGTATCTGCAAATATTTGGACATATCTGCAATGCAAAACACGTCTAGATACGTCCAAATATTTGCAGATACATTTTGCCAAAACGACAACTAATTTGAAACAGAGGGAGTATATATTATTATATTAAGAGGTTTCTTAAACTAACGTTAGGTATCTTCGTGTTAGGAAAATATGTACCTCAAATTGATTAGTACCATACCAAATTTGAAGTAAGGCAAAAAGAGTACACTACTGTCAATTGTTATTATTGTTAAAAAAAAGCTAATTTGACATTGTGATAATATTAATTACTGTCTCACGTTAATGGATCATCAACTTTCTCCAATATTATCATTAACATGGCTCCACTCCGTTTTTATTAAAGGATAAAGATCCTCATTATAATAAAGGACCATGATCTAGTTGGATTGTTCTTAGTTATGCGACTTATGCCCTCTCCCATGACGATAAAAGTGGATATAAATAAATGTAACAAGTGGGAAAACTTTAGTAAGAACATCGATTCTTTGACACTTCATTAGCTCAGGTTTAACAAGATTATTTAGTTATAAAACACACACGTAGAATATGTAGAGAGTAAAAGATTTTTTTAATTGATGATCAATAAAGAATGGTTGAGCAATTATGGTCTGTGTTAGATCTCAAAATCACATAGTAATAGTAAGATAAGAGATGTGAGGTTTAGGAGAGACTTTTTATTAGATCAACCAAAGACAAAGATGATACAAAGGGTGATTCGTCTCGACGATAAGGCTTGACGAGACAAATACGAAAAGAATAGAGAAGCTAAGAACAAAGGATGAATTATAACTAGGGTTTTGCCTCTTTGATTGTGGAGAATTTCTGGATGTTTGTGGATGGTCTTCAAGGAATAAGGGGTCTTCTATTTATATAGAGATGAGGTTGGCTTCCTCAAGATATTCTTCCATATTTCTTTTGGAAATATTCTTCTTTGGTATTGATCTTCTTCTATTTTTCTTGGATGTAGTCTTTCCTTCCAAGTACTTCCTTTTTTTTTTGAGGAGGTAGAAGTGGAAGCGGGCCAGGCTTACATAGTATTATTAATTGTGACGGGCTCAGAGAAATTGTGCTAATTTCTGCTCTATAAGTCTGCAACGCTTAAAAGTAACTAGTTCTCCATTTTATCAAAAAAGTAACTAGTTCTCTTCTTTTCTTTTTTTTAGCAAAGATTGTTCGTATCCATCTGTTTATTGAAAAGCAACGTGAGTTGATTTTAGAAGTTTGTATTTGCTTAACCATACTGTGACGACCAAATATCACGACTATGAAATTAATCACTAGCCTACAAAATCTCTCGTAAGGATCGGATAATGTAAGTTTATGGCTTTATGCTAAAAGGTAAAAAAAACACTAAAAATAAGCTTATATAAATAAAATGTTTCAATAAAACTACCAGATCGTTAATATTTTAGATATGTAAAATTAAGAATGGACTAAATAATATTTCTCATGTTTTCGTTAATATTTTAGATATGTAAAATTAAGAATGGACTAAATGATATTTCTCAATAACACAACTTTTGTATTAAACTTTAATTCCACGCGCTTTAAACTGAGTTTGTGATTCGATTTTAGTCTTTGTGTACCGAACTACTTGACAATTTGTGTTGAAAATTTTTAAATGATGCGTTTTCCATATTTGGTCTATAATTTCTATTAAACAAATCGACCTACTTTTTTAATTTTCTCTCGTTTTAATATTATCTCTGCAGGATTTAAAATGATAAAATCTTCATCTCAAAATTTCATTTATTTTATTTTATCCGATTAGAGCCAAAGAAAAACATCGACGAAGCCCTAGTTTTCTCTGGGATCTCATATAAGGATATATAACCACTTACACACATTTTTTTTGTCGGCTTGTGTGCGTAATATATAAAACTTTTAATACTAGCATTTTTAAATTTTATAGTATTAACTATTAAGTAATAATATTGAGATAAATAAAATATAATAGAAATAAAGAAACTGTTTCTCCGCTAAATTCTCGGTGTATGTCTTTGCTTTGCTTTTACTTTCCTCGTTCAATGAGAGGACCAAAAATTTATTGCAGAGTCGCACATGAATCTCAAGCTTCTCTCTCCTTTTTCCAGAGCACATCAGAGTCGCTAAAATACGATAGGCAAGAAAGAAGCTGATTCTTCCTTTAGCCCTAATTAAGCTACCTAACTAGGGTTTCCTCTAACCTTTCCCCACCTCAGAGAGAGAGAGAGATCTTTTAACACAAGTTACCATTTTTTTTCTCTTTCTTTGGTCTTTAACTTAGTTCTGTTCTAGTTTTGTCGGCTTGTGTAACTTCCTCTTAATTCTTTAAGCTATTGGTTCCTCAAAATCATGAGTTTTGACTTCTCGATCTGAGTTTTTATTTTGCTGTTCATGCTCTTGTTCACCTCACAATATCTGAGCGAGAAGGATCAAGAATCAAGAACCAAGAACCAAGAATCAAGAAAATTGATTTGAGCTGGCGAATAAGCAGTGGTGGGATAGGGAATTAGTAGATGCGGCGGCGATGGAAGGCGGTTACGAGCAAGGCGGTGGAGCTTCTAGATATTTCCATAACCTCTTCAGACCGGAGATTCACCACCAACAGCTTCAACCACAGAGCGGAATCAATCTTATTGACCAGCATCAACATCACCAACATCATCATCAACAACAACAACAACAACCGTCTGATGATTCAAGAGAGTCCGACCACTCAAACAAGGATCATCATCAACAGGGTCGACCCGATTCAGACCCGGCTACGTCAAGCTCAGCACCGGGAAAACGTCCACGTGGGCGTCCACCGGGATCTAAGAACAAGGCAAAGCCACCAATCATAGTCACGCGCGATAGCCCCAACGCGCTTAGATCTCACGTCCTTGAGGTATCTCCGGGAGCTGACATAGTCGAGAGTGTTTCCACTTACGCTAGGCGGAGAGGAAGAGGCGTCTCCGTCTTAGGAGGGAACGGCACCGTTTCTAACGTCACTCTCCGTCAGCCATCCACTCCTGGAAATGTCGGTGGTGGGGCTGGAGGTGGAGGAGGAGGAGGAGGAGTTGTGACTTTACATGGAAGGTTTGAGATTCTTTCTCTAACGGGAACCGTTTTGCCACCTCCTGCTCCTCCTGGTGCAGGTGGTTTGTCTATATTTCTAGCCGGAGGGCAAGGTCAGGTGGTTGGAGGAAGCGTCGTGGCTCCGCTTATTGCATCAGCTCCGGTTATACTAATGGCTGCTTCGTTCTCAAATGCGGTTTTCGAGAGATTGCCGATTGAGGAGGAGGAAGAAGAAGGCGGTGGTGGCGGCGGATCAGGAGGAGGGGTAGGAGGAGGGCCACCGCAGATGCAGCAAGCGCCGTCAGCGTCTCCTCCGTCAGGAGTGACCGGTCAGGGACAGTTAGGAGGTAATGTGGGTGGTTATGGGTTTTCCGGTGATCCTCATTTGCTTGGATGGGGAGCTGGAACACCTTCAAGACCACCTTTTTAATTGAAATTTACATAATGTCAACGGAAATTTATGTGTTTTTATCATTTTGTGGAGTCGTCTTTCATTTGGGATCTTTGGTATTTATCTTTTAGTTGATATGCATATTTGGCTTTTCGTGTTCTTTTCTTTCTTTCTTCTTATCTTTGGTAGATGCTAGAGAAATGCATATTTGTTTCTCAGGCTGTTAGAAAACCTCTCCATATATGCCTTTCTTAGTTTATTCATTGTATTAGGGTTTCGTGCTGTACCCTATAAGCAGTAGTAATATATAACTAGTTCGATTTGTTAAGATGGATAGGTCTATTTATATGATGAGTTCGATTCTTTTAAGACATTTTGAGCTTCACGACATATTCTTGATGAAATATTTTTATGTGACATCTCAAAAGTTGCACTATATGATTTTCTTCTACAAGCACATTCACTTCAACTTCTTTTAACAACTTCGGTCAAATAGCTTTACATATAGATAAACTTAAAACGCGTATTGCATCTAAGATTACATTCGTGTCTAGTTGGCTATCTAAACCACTTAGGACACGACTGACTAATTAAGCGATCTCTCACATAACCTTTTTTTCTTTACACACTTAATCTTTGCCACCTAAGAGAAAAATTATGGCTATAAAAGACTATTAGTGTTTAAGGGGCGTCGTAACTCGTAATCAGCCGTCCGAAAATGTGCTCTCATATTACATTTTAGGTTGGAGTGACTATGTTCTAATGTTATTTATGCGAATACTATAGTTACTTTCATGCATAATACATATGGAGTAATTCTCCAATCAAACCGGTTTGATTGAGAGTTGTAAATCCAAAACCATTCAGATAGGTTGGCTATATATATACGCAACTTTAAAGAAATTGTAGGTCACATATATACGCCTTATTCTACGATCATATAGTTTTGGGTGTGAGATTATACACCCTTTATTTTGGCTGGCATGGATAAGATACATGCATGTCTCAGCCGACAATTAAAAAATATATATAATGGTTAAAAAAAACTCAAACATATTCGTATCAGTTTGTATGTGAGTACTTGCGTTTATTCTACGAAAATGTGATTGTTCGATCGATGAAAAAAGACCGGAAAAAAGTGATTTTGGTGATTAGATCATGAAGAATAGTGCTTTGGAAGTTTTATCCCATGCAGTGGTTAAAGACAACCGTAACAGCATTGTACAAACAGGAACTAAATGTTGTTTTTCGTCGGTTACATAGACATTAATTAATGACCTTAACATGGGAATATTAACTATGAACATGAGTGATAGTTTGTGTCAGTTAAAGAGTCTCTGCCGCAACATAACAAAATTGGGGTTTTGATTACCAAGATACGTGAAAAAGAGGAATGTTCCAATTCCCTAGGGACAAATTTATTGACTAGGAACAAAAGGCGAAGCTTAAACAATACCGCAATATACTGAAACGCTTACATAGTTTCAGATAACCAAGAAAATGCCCAAAAGAGAATTTGGTTTTGCAAAGCTACTTACATTTGATGAATATGCAGAGTATGATTGCTAGCTATAAATTGTGTTAGCTTCTAAGTTTTAACTATTGTACACAACGTTGAAATAGATGGTTCATGACTACCAAAACGAAAAAATTTAAATAATCAAGATACAGAAAAGGTTAACTTAACTTGTTACAGTTTCCGATTGAAGAGATAAATCCCAAAATCTAGAGTTCTACTATAGTGATAATTTGTATACACATTTCAGCAAGAATCTTTTTTTTTGGCTAAATAAATAAAATAATATCAATACTTACTTTTATTATTTCATATGGCTTTTTGGGGCTTTGGAACATGTTAAGGGGAAAAAGCGTTGTAGCTGTGTTTTGTATATTATCAAATTCCCATGTAATAATGTCATTTGCCTTGCATGCATGTAATTGAGCTACACCAAGTTTTCATATTTATTTTTATATCTGGGAACGTTGTGGATGATGATAATAGAGACAACACACATGCACACACACACACACACACACCATATATACTATGTGATCATACTCTTGTTAAAATATATTATCGTCTAATCTAGTCAAGTAATTAATTATGTTGTTTTATGATATCTGTAGAATGATGAACATTGCTGACTCTAGACTAAACTATGTTTTCTGTCTAAAGCCATTTTAAATCTGAAAGCCATTCTCACACATCCATAGTCCATACACTCTTCCGATATCTAAAGTAGTGGACTTCACGATTTTGAACCTTAAATTTAGGTCATGATAAAAATATCGAAAAAATCATGCACTTCATTATCTTTTTATCATATGTCCCCAAAGGAATAATGATGATCTTTTTAGATTTCAGGCAAATGTCAATTAAGTTTTAACTTGTTACTATTGTTTTCCCCTTAATGATATGCAATAGGCACCAAAATTTCATACTTTTTCTTTCACTTTTTGAAAACAAATCATATCAGGAGAACTTTTTGAAAACCGAAAAAAGCATGAGAACCTAAAAAAAAATGATCAAAAACCTATGGTAGATGGGATAGGCAAATAAAATCATGACTATAAAAGAACATAGATACGAAACGCATAACATTCCAATTTTGGACCAAACATACCATTGTATTGTTACATAATAAAATAAAAGGCTTTAAACTAAAGATTTGAAGCAGCTTCTCCTACCAATCTCAACTTCTACAGCAGAAGAATCTTACAGTAAGATACACATGTTTGATTGTCTGTTCCTAACTTAGGTCTTCAGAATAAAAGTACAGTTAAAAACTGCTCCAGCCGCCTAACAATTTGGTTCTGATACACATGAATTCCTAAAAGAAACTAAGAACAAACAACAAAAGCTCACTCTTGAGAGATCAGTCACTTCTCATACGGAACTCGTATGAACAGGCGACCGTGCATGCTCATGATCGCATTCGTCTGAAGCGGATTGATCCTTCCTGCTAAGCTAACAATCTGATGGAAATCATATCAAAATGTCAGGACGGTTCTCAATTCAATACAACAAGTCTCTGAATCAAATGTGGATTATAAAGAAAACTTTACCTTCTTGAATGGTGTAATGCCCCAAGGATTGTCAAGCTGCTCAGGCTGCCCTGTTATGATCAGCTTTCCTGCCGGATCTGATTGAATGCGAACCTGAGATTAAAAAAACAACTGATGTTCAGGAAGTAGAACTCTAAATTGATATGCATTCATACAAAACTAAAAGACAAAGACTTATCAAGTAGGTTTTCAGAGACAGTGTTACAAAAGGAGTGCTCACCTCGTCGCGAAGAAGTCCAGGAATCAAGGCAAATACCTCAAAGGCTTCCTTCTGTGAACACAAAAAGAAAACAGAAACCAGTCTTGGTTAGATATATTCATATTGGATACAAAACATACGTTTTGAAATTGTTCTTTAGCCGTCTTTTGATCAGACTGTTCTCATAACGGGAAATGGCAGAGAAGTTACTCACAGTTTCTTTGACAGTTATCTTGACCCAGTCAGCAAGGGGTCCATCATCAACGACATCAGCAACAGCGGACCTATATCATCAACAATATCAGAAACACAAAATTAAATAACTATGGAGGAGTTGCAAATAATCAGAAAAGGATTAGCTTTTCGTACTGTTCTTTTTCATTTGAAGCAGCAGGGTCCACGACAGCTTGTGTGTTCGGTTTCTGATCACCTGGAAAAACCGTTTAAACACACAATATTGAGCAACAATTGTTGAAACAAAAAACTAGCAACACTTCGAGAAAATCAATTTTACCAATGTTTTTGAGTTTCTTTTGCTTTGGGGTAAAGGTTAAGCTCTTATCCTGAAACAAAAGGAGAACATCATCATGTTGCAGGGCTAAACTCTGCAGGTGAAATCACAAAGTGTGATAAGATCTGAAGTGAGACCTTAACAATAGGCATAGTTACCTCTCCAGATCCAGCCTGGCGCTGAGCGCTCCAACCTTGCATAGCACGAGCTGCAGAATCTCTCCGTGCCCTGCCTGAACCTGAGCCTTGATTGGCAACGACCTACATCAAAGTACTTATATTAGGGAAGAAAAGTTCCTTTCTGCGCTAAGTAAATGCTGAAAAATAACTCTTAAGCTGCCATTCCCTTAGTGTCAACAACATTATATGCGCACATGATCCCCTTCCCACAATAGATTAACAAGTAGATAGTTTTCTTTTATCATCATAATGGTGCGCTAGATCGAGCTGATATCTTCATCTGAACTTTCCATATCTACCCATCTTTCCACAAATTCAATAGTGTCCAAAAGCCAAAAGCACAGAAACCAATTGTTTTGGGGGAAATCTTTACCTCTTTGTCGACGCTGGAAGACATGTCTGTTGAACCGGGAAGGTCAATGTCACCATTTCTCCTTAGGTACTTCTCGAACTCCAAAAGTGCCTGCAATTGAAGCAAAGATACAAATCATTATGTATAGTATCAACAAAAAAAAGCTATCAGTGCATCCAAATTGTCCAAAATAAACTGCCATGAAACTACCTAGGCAACACATAGATACAAACTAACTATGATAACACACGATACCAAAAAGCAGCACAAGGAGGATTGCCTGAAGAGGATAAAGTAAAACCGAAGGTATAATATGCATAACAATGAAACTCACCTTCTCATAGAAATTGCGGAAGGTGTAGGAGACTGTTGTGCATGTCCTGAACAAAGAGAGTTAAAAATTAGTGTCATGAAAAACTGGCAAAGAGTAACGGAGATTCTAAGGGCAACATCAGCCATACTTTGGAGGATGGAAGGATTCTCCAACTTGCCGCCATAGCTTGGTTGTGGTGACCTACAAAACCATGAAATATTAAAGGAATCTTGAAGACTAAACATTCAATTTCGGCAGAAGATTCGAAAAACATTGAATATAAACTCCCAAATCTAGCTAACAACAGTAAACCAAATCAGTTTTCCAACAACATATCAAACAAATATAATGCACAATTAACTATCCTCTCTGAAAGTCATTTTCCATGGTTATAGATACTCTTATCATCAATAAGCTATACTGATTTAATACTTATACCTTACATAGTTCATATGTTATCCATAACCAACACAAATCAAATGAATGTGATATGATAATCATGCGAGTCAACTTAAATGACCTAGAAGACTCAACCTACGAACTAAAATATGGTTTTCGTAATCATGAAGTGGTGATGTTGGGAGTTTAAGACCAAACTTAAAAAGTGGATACTGACCACGTCATAGCCACCTAAGTTAACCACTGATCTCCATAGCCTACATTGCATAGTAAATCACGCAAAAGCCAGTTAGTGATCAACCAGATATATGGGTTTACATAAGAACAAAATCAACACTTTCCAACAACTCACTTGAGAGAGTTCAAAGGCTGCCCATAAAACTTAAGAGGCTTATACTCCAGGAAGTTCTCTCTGTGAAAGGTCTCCAATTCTCTCAGAAACATCTGCTGTTCCTCTGGTGTCCCTGCCACATCAACTTCCCGTCCCTGTAGAGAAAAAAAGTGAACTTGTAAGAGACAGATCCGCCATAACAATCTTCACCACTAAATCTGAGCCAAATCTAACAGAAACATAGTCTATAATTACCTGGGAATTGTCCAGCAACCAAGTGTTCCGCTTTTTGGGATTTCCATCTCCAGTCTCAGTCTCAGTCTTAGTCACAGCAGGAGGAGTCGCAAATTGCACCCTGGTACGAGTCCTCCTCTCAGAGTGATTCACAGCTCCAGCATCACCCTTTTGGCCATGACCATTAGCCTGACCAGCCACATCTCCACTACCACCAGACTCCTTGAGAATGGGCTTGGGCATTTCACTAGGGGTTTGGACCTTCTCTAGCTCCGTTGCATCAACAACGGTACAAGGCACCTCTTGCTCTTGAATTTCGATATCTATACCCGCCATCAGAAAAAGCCTTCTCTTCTGTTCTGGAGCAAATCATTCACAGCAAAATAACGTCACAGAAGAGACACACACAGAGAATAAAGCTATGATATAAACACAAAAATCCAAAAGAAAAATGTGGTGCTTTTCGAATAAAAACAAAAGGAACGTATTCCCTTCTCTGACTCAACTTAGAAGAACAAAATCGGGAATTGGAGCGTTACTTCTCAAATTCACAGCCTTTAAACTAATTAAAACCTAAACAAGCCGGGGAAACAAAAAAAGCTTATAGAAAGCAGCCACCAAAATTAAAAAAAAAAAAAAAAAAAAGACGAATGCTTGCCTGTTCTGCAGCGGTGACGGTGACGGCGACGGCGGCGACAACTCTGGGATGATATTGAGAGGGCGGGACCTCCGGTGGCGCGCTAGGGTTTGCGGCCGGAGAAATGGAAAGGAGCCGAAGAAGGTACAGAGAGAAACAGTGGACAAAACGGAGACAATTTGAAGCGGAGAAAAATCTTGTGACAATGGCGAAAGTGTTTAGGAAGGATGGGGCTATTTAAATGCTCTCAGCGAGAGACTTAACGCTTAACTCTGACCAAAAGGAAAAAAGAGTTTCCCAAACTTTGTTTTACACTACCCCCCTCTTTTTTACATTAAATTAAAGTTTTATTTTTGTTTTTATTATATTTATAGGTTTTTTTTTCTTATTTTTCTATTGAAATTACAAGTAGTTTCTTTCATTTTTTTTGGTTGATTCTAATAAATATCATAGATTACACAAAGTTGAATCCAAGTGATAATATGATGATAATGTTACGATAAAACTATTATATTAGAGATTTTTGTCGTTTTTATTATGATTAGGGCAATGATAAACGATAAATCTTTCATTATATCTGTTTTTACATATTTGGATTAGTTACGTAAATGGTTATTTTCGATAATGATGTATAAAATTTATGTAAATTCAGTTTTAACTTATTTTCTAGTACTAAAAATAAATGTAAGAGAATAAATAATGAACATTACAGAAAATGGCTGTTAAAAGTTATACTAGAATTGTTATTCGTGTTGCGAACATTACCGTTAAATTAATTAGAGAATCGTTGAGACGCTGGATAAAAAAAATGATATAAAACCAAACATCAAAATTTTTAATGGTAGAAAATAACAAAAAACAATTATCAACCACATTGTCATTGTTTTTCACGAACAATTATTTTTTAAAAATTATATTTTAAAAATATTTTTATAAATATATCTAGTGAGGATTAAAGTGAATAAAATCAACATGTACCATTTTGTAATTTCATGGAAAGTAAAATATTACTTAAATGACAAGCAAAATATCTCTCAGTCTTAACTCTTTTTTTGTTAATATTTGTTTCTTTATTAAAAAAGATTATTAGCATAAAAAAAAATATAGTGATAAGATTTTTGAATGTCTATAAAAAAAGATCTTACTATATAATAAACATGTGTATACGTGGATCTTTATCTAGTATCCATATATTTAGTGAAATATCTATTTTTTTCTAAATTTCTTATGTATCTAGGAGATTTTTAAGTAAATAAGGTTTATTAGGAAAATATCTTTTAAAAAGTTTGAACTTATCTCATAAAAAATTAGATTAACTATCCCAAAAAAAACAAATTAGAGAAGAAGAACCATATTACATCTATGGGCCTTAAGACCCAAACAGATAGCTTAAATCGTCATGTGAAATATGGGCTCAGTATGGATCGAAACCAAGTTGGCTTTTTTTTGGGTTCTTTTGCACGGAGTCGCGAATTTCTGTTACATAAATAATTTAGAAAAACCGCCATCTCAGATTTTAGGCAAACACACTCCACAATATCGATTCGTTAGGGTTCCGAGGCTCTGCTCTCTCTCGATTCTTCTTCTAGCTTCGTCTTCTCCGCTGAAGATTTATCTGTGTAAGCTCCAAACTTTGTTTTTGTTTCGTGATTGTTCGATTAGTCTGAGATTTTTACTTAATACATTGATTCTGAATCAGGCAGTTCGCGGTCGCTCACGCGTAATTGAGGGTGGATTATCGCTTTGTTTGATCCTCTGGAACACTTGAAGATTTGTGAAATTGATTGAATTTCGAAATTTGGGGTTGTTCGAGCTGAAGCTATAGATGGAGGAATATAAGCCGAAGTCCAGGACCGAAGATTTGGACATGGAAGAGGAGGATTATGATTTGAAGAAAAGTCGGCGAGATCGTGATCGGAGTAAGGAGCGGAAGAAGGAGAAGGGTTCGGAGAAGCGCCGAGAGAAGGACAAACGGAAGAGACGGTCTGAGAGAGTTAAGAGTAGTGATTCTGAAGATGAGCTCGATAGAGATGGTGATGATGATGATGAAGAGAGGGAGAGGCGTAGAGAGAAGGAGCGGAGACGGAGGGATAGGGAGAGGTCGAAGAGACGGTCAGAGAGGAAGAAGAGTAGCGATTCTGAAGATGACGATGAAGAAGAGGATGAGAGGGATAAACGCCGAGCGAAGGAGAAGGAGAGAGGACACCGAGAACATGAGAGAGATAGGGGCAAAGATCGGAAAAGGGATAGAGATAGAGAGAGAGAGGAGAGAAAGGAGAAAGAAAGAGAAAGGGAGAAGGATAGAGAGAGGAGAGAGCGGGAACGAGAGGAGAGGGAGAAGGAGAGAGTAAAAGAAAAAGAAAGAGAAAAGCGGGAACGGGAAAGGGAAGATGGAGAGAGGGATAGGAGAGAACGTGAGAAAGAAAGGGGTAGGAGGAACCGGGAAAGGGGTAGGTCACGAGAGGATGGAAATGAAGAGAGTGATGATGATGTTAAGCGTGATTTGAAGCGTAGAAGAAGAGAGAGTGGAGAACGGAAGGAGAAGGAGAAAGAGAAAGAGCGTGAAAAGAGTGTTGGTAGATCTGGCAGGCATGGAGATGACAATGGAGATAGTCCAAGGAGAAAGAGTGGCGAGGAGGATGGTGAAAAGAAAGAGAAGAAAACCCGTGAGGAAGAACTAGAGGATGAGCAGAAGAAGTTGGATGATGAGGTTGAAAAACGAAGGAGAAGAGTTCAGGAGTGGCAAGAGCTGAAGAGGAAAAAGGAGGAAGCTGAAAGTGAAAGTAAGGGTGATGCGGATGATAAAGAGCCGGCCGGTAAGGCTTGGACGCTTGAAGGAGAATCTGATGATGAAGAAGGCCATCCGGAAGAAAATACAGAAGCAGAGATGGATGTTGATGGAGAGACTAAACCCGAAAATGGTGGAGATGCCAAGATGGTAGACTTGGAGATTGAGACAGCTACTGTTGTCTCTGAGAAACAAGGTGATGGAGCTGCAGATGAAGAGGAAATTGATCCTTTAGATGCTTTTATGAATGCTATGGTATTGCCCGAGGTTGAGAAGCTTAGCAACAATGCTCCTCCGCCAGAAGTTAACGATGGTATTTTGGATTCTAATAAGAATGGGAAGGTACGTGGTGACCACCCGAAGAAAGGTTTTAATAAGGCCCTTGGTAGGATAATTCAAGGTGAAGATTCCGATTCTGATTATTCAGAACCAAAGGATGATGATGATCCAAGTTTAGAAGAAGACGATGAGGAGTTCATGAAGAGAGTAAAGAAGACAAAAGCAGAAAAATTGTCTCTTGTTGACCACTCAAAAATGGATTATGAACCTTTCCGGAAGAACTTCTATATTGAAGTGAAGGATATCTCAAGGATGACACCAGATGAAGTTGACGCTTACAGAAAGGAATTGGAGCTGAAAGTTCATGGAAAGGATGTACCAAGACCCATAAAATCGTGGCACCAGACTGGACTAACCAGCAAAATTTTGGATACCTTGAAGAAGCTGACGTATGAAAAGCCGATGCCTATCCAAACACAAGCACTCCCAATCATCATGAGCGGCCGAGACTGCATTGGAGTCGCTAAAACCGGGTCAGGTAAAACGTTAGGTTTTGTTTTGCCAATGTTGAGACATATCAAGGATCAGCCTCCCGTGGAAGCTGGTGATGGGCCAATTGGGCTTGTGATGGCACCCACTAGGGAGCTTGTTCAGCAGATTCACAGCGATATCAAAAAGTTTTCCAAGCCATTGGGAATAAGATGTGTTCCTGTGTATGGAGGATCAGGAGTTGCGCAGCAAATTAGTGAGCTAAAACGAGGGACTGAGATTGTTGTATGCACTCCCGGGAGGATGATTGACATTCTTTGCACAAGCGCTGGAAAAATCACCAATCTGCGGAGGGTCACATTTTTGGTAATGGATGAAGCTGATCGTATGTTTGACATGGGTTTCGAGCCTCAAATTACTCGTATTATTCAAAATATTCGACCTGGTCGGCAGACTGTGCTCTTTTCTGCCACTTTTCCACGTCAAGTTGAGACTTTGGCGCGTAAAGTCTTGAACAAGCCTGTGGAGATACAGGTTGGTGGAAGGAGCGTCGTGAATAAGGATATAACTCAGTTGGTCGAAGTCAGACCGGAGAGTGAGAGGTTCTTTAGAGTTCTGGAACTTCTTGGGGAATGGTATGAGAAAGGAAAAATTTTGATTTTTGTCCAGTCACAGGAGAAATGTGATTCCTTGTTTAAAGATATGATAAAAAATGGTTACCCTTGTCTATCTCTTCACGGGGGTAAAGATCAGACGGATCGTGAATCAACGATATCTGATTTTAAGAGCAATGTCTGCAATTTGCTGATTGCCACAAGTATTGCAGCCAGGGGTCTAGATGTGAAAGAGCTTGAGTTGGTTGTAAACTTTGATGCACCGAACCACTATGAAGACTATGTGCATCGCGTTGGCAGGACAGGCAGGGCAGGGCGGAAAGGATGTGCTGTGACATTTATCTCTGAAGAAGATGCAAAATATGCACCAGATTTAGTCAAGGCCCTGGAACTTTCTGAGCAGCCAGTTCCCGATGATCTGAAAGCAATTGCTGATGGTTTCATGTCTAAAGTGAAACAGGGTCTTGAGAAAGCTCATGGAACTGGCTATGGAGGTAGTGGTTTTAAATTCAACGAAGAGGAGGAAGAAGCGAAGAAAGCAGCCAAGAAAGCACAATTGAGGGAGTATGTCTTTGATGAAGACAAGTCTGACTCAGACGATGAGAATGATGTAGTAAGAAAGGCAGGTGGTGATAGCTTACAGTCACAGCAGCAGGCTGCTATTGCTCATGTGGCCGCCATTGCCGCTGCAGCTAAAGCTAATGCTGCAGCGAGTGCTCCTGCGGCTGCTAACCCATTGCTGCCAGGTCTCCTTCCGGTTGCTGTTCCTGGGCAACTTAATGACGGGGCAGGTCGTGCTGCAGCCATGGTTGCTGCCATTAACCTGCAACATAACCTGGCAAAGATTCAAGCTGATGCGATGCCTGAACACTATGAAGCAGAGCTGGAGATCAACGATTTCCCACAAAATGCTCGCTGGAAGGTCACCCACAAAGAAACTTTGGGTCCAATATCAGACTGGACTGGAGCCGCCATTACTACCAGGGGTGAGTTTCACCCGCCAGGACGTAAGCCGGGACAAGGGGAACGCAAGCTCTACTTGTTTATTGAAGGGCCTAGCGAAAAATCGGTTAAGAACGCGAAAGCTGAACTCAAGCGTGTTCTTGAAGACATTACAAATCAGGCTATGTCACTTCCTGGAGGATCACAACCCGGCAAATACTCTGTCCTATAATGTAAGTCGAGAATTCTGATCCAAGTTACAATCTTTGGTGGTAAATTTATATCAAATGCTTGCCTTGTCTTGCATGCAGACAACTGTCTTTCTTACATAATGCCCTAATTCTTTTGGTTTCAAAGTTCAAACTTATGGATCTTTAGTTTCTGTCTTTTAACAGGAAAGCAACCATGAGGTGTGTGATTAAAGGGTTCAAATCACTCAAGAATTTCTCTTTTCCCCTTATTATTGATTGATGTTGTGGAATACAATCTCTGCAGAATTGCCAAATCTTTTTTTATCCGTAGACTTGAACGTGGTGTGATAGTTTCTAAATTGCTTTGCTTTATTGAATAATGCATGTTATTGTTCATCACGCTGCTCTCGCCTCTTTTAATTGCATTCCTTTTTTCTTTTTGCTATGTCCTCGATGGGTTTGGTAATGCGCATTACCGCGTGGTGGCTGTAAAAGAATCGGTAAAATCTAGTTTGAAGCAGATGTTGAGTTTGGCTTTGCTCTTAAACCGAATAGCTCTGCACTTTTGTTACTTGCATCAACTTCCCCATTTACAGAGCTTTTCGCATCTTTTCCGCAGGAGAGAATCCATGAAACATGAAGGTGTCGAAGAGATGATGTGAGTTTCTTAAAGACTTTGAGTTTACTTTGGTGGTTCTGGATCATGCGTCTGCTTAACCATTACTCATACGGGTTCATGGGGTTACCAATGTCGTAAACGGTGAAGGGTGTGACTTCTGAGTAATGCCAAAAGCTGATGTTGCATTGGTATGTAGTTACTGGTCAAACAGCGGATCAGTGATCAACATAGTTGTCAAGTAAAAGCGCTTGTATGAGAGATATTGTTTGTGGATTCAAAATTAAAACTAATGGTTCCGAAACAGCGAATTAGGCGAGGGGATACTTAATCCCGAATTGGCGGATTTTATAGAAAACGAATGCAGCCAGTAATCATGGGAGGTATACGAGTTTGGCCTAATTTCATATTTTAACATGTCAGATGACTCAATATAATCAAAGTTTCAAACACTGGAGTCTTGGATTGTATTGCCACACTTGTAAGTTGTAACAACCGAGCAAAAACCTTGTTTTCGAGAATTCATAATAGCATGATAATATAAAAAGTTTGAAACCTAGTAGAGTAGAGTATAATATTCCGAAACAATTCCCGCAAGTCATCGTATTAGATGGCACGAGACTCATGATCACTGCTCAGCATATTGTGCCTCCATAAAGAATTTGCTTGTTATTTTTTTTTGTTGAAATTTTGTAATATTACGAGGAGATTAAAATTTGGATTTAAAGATTACTTGACGTGTAGTATCAAAGATTCAAAATACACGTGTAGATTCAGTGTCCCGTGGAACAATGATTTGTTCAGTTATGGTAGTTATTAACTACTAAAAGTAGAAGCGAGAGGCCATGCAAAGCAAAGTCTGCGCCAATTTGGGGTTGAAGAGAGCGAGAGCGAGAGCCAACTTCCAAGTTTCTTTTCTTCTTCTAAATCTTTTGGATTTACGTTTGGTACTCTCTTTCACTGCTCGAGAAGAAAACGATCCATCTCCATTCCTCTCGATTCTCTTCGTCTTCCAATAAGGTAATCAATCACCAAACGATCTCTCGGATTTCGAAAATCTGCCGATCTCTCTGTTTAGCTCGAATCACTCGTGATTTTGATGTCGTTCGTAATTTTAGTGCGTAATCGGTTGTTTGAGTTTTGAGATTGTGGAACAGGGCAAAATGTTGATGCTAATGTTTGGAATTTTCTATCAGATTCGCGAATGACGACGAAGCTTTTGGACCTGTTCATAACCTCATCGATACCAGTAGCGAAGATTCTGGTGATAACAGGAGTTGGATTCTACTTGGCCCTGGATCGAGTTAACATTCTGGGTCCAGATGCTAGAAAACATCTCAACAACGTCAGTTTTATTCGTCACATTTTTGATTAATTCTCTCAAGTTTTATTCGTCACATTTTTGATTAATTCATGAGTTTGTTACGTAACTTTTTTTTTTTTTTTAACAGATAATTTTCTATGTGTTTAGTCCTTCCCTCGTTGCAAGCAGTCTAGCTGGGACTATTACATATGAGAGCATGGTCAAAATGTAATCTCCTGATTCTCTGGAAGAATCAGATAATTGAGTTTGCTTGACAATGGTTTTGCGAAACTTTCAGGTGGTTTATGCCAATCAATGTTCTGCTCACATTCATCATTGGCTCGTTTCTTGGCTGGATTGTTATCAAAATCACTAAACCTCCTTTGCATCTCCGTGGCATTGTTGTTGGTTGCTGTGCTGCTGGTACGTCACCTAATACTATCACTCCTACAAACGTTGTTTTGTAGAATCCAATCAAGAAATGAAAATGTAAAATCCAAACAGGGAATTTGGGGAACATGCCACTCATCATAATCCCAGCTATATGCAATGAAAAAGGAAGTCCTTTTGGAGATCCTGAGACTTGTGAGAAATATGGATTAGGTTACATTGCACTCTCAATGGCGGTATGTTGCACTCTCAAGGGTTTATTTATTTATTCAGGATGTGTTATAATATGCTAATAGAAGTCAAAACGTTTTGCGGTGTGTATCAGATTGGAGCCATTTACTTATGGACTTACGTATACAACCTTATGAGAATGCTAGCAAATACGGGAAGGGAAACGCCATTGATCGGTACCTCTGCCTCCTCTACAGTGCCACTGATTCCTACCACTGACGTAGAAGTTGAGGAACAGGTCTCAACAGTTACCATTTGATAATTCTTGAAAGCTTTATTGATGCTTTAACTTATGGTTTTTTGGGGTTGATTGTGTATGTGACAGTTTGGAATTTGGATCAAGATCAAGCAAAGAGTGTGTTCCGTAGCAAATAAAATCAACCTACGAACCATATTTGCTCCTTCAACCATTGCAGCGGTTTGCTTTCAACGTAAACAAAAGAATGGTAGCTTCTCTGTATGTTCATAGTATAATAAGCATTTTTTTCTCTTCAGCTTATTGCGCTTGCGGTTGGGCTAATCCCTACACTAAGGAAGCTACTAGTTGGCAACACAGCTCCACTCCGAGTGATTGAGGACTCGGTATCTCTATTGGGGTATTCTACAACACGTATATTTAATTAAGAATATGGCTTGTCTGTCAATGATTTTTAAAATGCTTAGTTGAGTAGCTTAATCCACTTCTTGAAGGGAAGGGACGATTCCTCTTCTCACTCTGATTGTAGGAGGAAACCTTCTCGGAGGTAAAATCAAACAAATAACAAAATCTGCAAAAAGGCATTATTCCAAGAGACTAAACCTTAATCTCTCTCTCTCTCTCTCTCTCTCTCTCTCTCTCTCTCTCTTTTCAATAATAACAGGTCTGAGAGGTTCAGGAATGCACAGGTCAGTCATAATGGGAGTGGTGTTTATGCGTTACGTGTTGCTGCCAATATTAGGTGTTTTCATAGTAAAAGGAGCTCATCACTTGGGTTTGGTTTCATCCGAACCGCTCTACCAGTTTGTTCTTCTCCTTCAGTATGTCGTTCCACCGGCGATGAATCTTGGTTTGTTCCTTCAGACTCAGAAAATTTGTCTTTCTCATAGATTCACTTTCACTTGACTTTGACCCTTTTTGGCAGCTACAATCACTCAACTATTCGGATCAGGAGAAAGCGAATGTTCTGTGATTCTTTTTTGGTCTTACGCTCTGGCTTCGGTTTCTCTAACCATCTGGCCAACATTCTTTATGTGGCTTGTAGCCTAAACACACACACACAACACATGGAACATTTGTGAATCTCTCTACTTTAGAAAATCAGAGCGATTGATTATATTCTTTCAATGTTAAAGGAGTTGAGGTTACACAACTGGGAATAGAGAGTTGAAAAAAACTTAATCATCCTAAGAA